CAACAGAGCTCACTTCAGACAGACGGGCTTATCTCTGGACTAGAGCGGACAGCGAGCACACTACCTCTGCTCGACCATAAAACCAGCTTTAGCTCTGCTATAGACTGGTGACCAGTCCAGGGTGGACCTCATTTCTCTCCCTATCACAGCTGAAGTAGGCTCAAGCTTCCCCATGACCTTCATTTGGTTGGAAGAAAATGAATGGATGGATGTTAATACTGCATAATAATAAATAAGTAGTATTTCAGAATATGGGACACGGATGCACAAGTAAAGCTGAATTCAGTGAGCGGCAGGAGTCATTCAGTTCTTGTTGGAGTGAATGCACATGAGCAGTAATGTCTTTTATACTCTTGTGATTGACTAAGCAGGTTTGTTGGCACTTAATAGGGGGAAAAAGGTGAACCTGAACAGTTGGTTGCTTCTGTTGTTTCTGTTTGAAGTTTTTTCCTTCCATAGTTCAAAGACTTACAGATCAGAATGAGAGTTGGTTTTTGTGTGTGTTATGGTGCTTTTCAGGGAACAGACAGATGTGTGACTTCTTTCAAAATATCATGATTAAGCCGATGGTGCAGCTGAGCACCTCAATAATGCAGGAGTGCACACTTACTAAGTGCATTGTTAAAGTGAGAACATTGTGTTCACCAGATATGAGCATCTGTTAGAGGTAAAAATGCACACAGTTGTGGTTATTTTTTGTGTTTTTCTAACCTCATCCAGGTATGTGTCTGCACTGACCACGCCAGCACGCCTGTCTCCAGTGGAGTTCCACTACCCCCCGCTGCCTCCCCAGGTTCCCACTTTTCAGATCACCTCGCCCAACACAAGCCACGCCCTCTCCCTTCCACCTGCTGCTGCCGCCTACCACAGAGACGATGACCAACCGCTGTTACGGTGCCCCGATGTACGTAAGCCTATATACAATATATAGCCTATATCAAAAGCACATGTCTGTTCCCCCCAGCTTTACTGTTATTGAACATATAAAAAAAATCTTTATTTTAAAAAAAAATCTGTTAGTTATAAGAAGAACTTAGCATGTAACCTGCAGTCTCTGTGTGGGCATTCACTGTCCCCAAGTTCATTTTCCTTATAATGTTTGCATGTTCAGCACAAACCATATGTATAATTGATTTACCAGAAGTAAACAAGCCACCATGACTAACATAGTCTCTCCCTACAGCATGTGTTTGAATGCAGGCTGTACAGAGGTGTCTTTCTTTACTTTCTGTGCACCGATACTGCTGACAACAAAGCCGAGCCAAGGCTCGTGAAGCCGCATTCAACCTTCTGTGGGGTTATTGTGAAATATAATGGTTTTTGCTGTGGCACGGACAGAATAGCATCACAAAACTAGCATCACAAACAGTAACTGCTGCCTAATGTCCAAAAGTCACCAAAAGATTGATGTGATAAACAGATGGCTTTGACATACAAGATGGCTGAGCCTGGCTCTGGTTAAAAGGGAGTTTTTTCTTCCCACTGTCACCAAGTGCTTCCTCAAAGGGGCCCTGCTGATTGTTGGGGTTTTCCTTATAATATTGTATGGTCTTTACCTTACAATATAAAATGCCTCTAGGCAGCTGTTATTGTGATTTTGTGCTATATTAACTGAACTGGATTGAAAGCCAAAGGGCCTGAAGTGCCTTAAACCTGTATTTTGTTTTCCTAATCGCCAGCAGGGGGTGACTGGTTACAAACAGAAGTGTACAAAGAAAAAGGGGCTTCATCTTCCCAGATTTATGACATCATTAAACAACTTTCTTATAGCTTTATGATCTCAGTTGCTAAAATTACGTCTTGCAAAATACAACATTAACTTAATGCTTAATATTGTAAATTATGGTCCCCAGGTGAGTAAATTGGGAGGATATTGAAGTGTAAGTTTTAGGCCAAATCCACCTTGTGATTGGCAAGCTGCTACCATGTGAGCATGCAGTCTCTTGATATACATGGTGAAGTGCGCTCAGTTGAAGGCTTCACAGCAGGACCTCCTTCTCTTGTATGCATAGGCAGACAAACACACCAGTAGGTCAATAAATTTGTTCAGCCATTCTAAGAAATCTGTGTTTTCTCTGTTTCAGGATGGAAGTTTATACAGGCAGCCCCGACGTCCTCGACGACCCTACCTGACAGAGAGCACAGGAAGTCTACCGTCCAGCCCCTACCGGCTCCCTGATGACGAGGCTTATGAGACGACACAGGAGTACGCCTCTTCACGGGAACCCATCAGAAGCCGGCGTCGCCCGCGACGCAACCGACTCAACGGACATATCTCACAGCGCTCGGCGGGTTTACGGGACTATAGCTCACAGAGCTTCAGCCAGTCAGAAGAGGAGGAAGAGGACGAGGAGGAAGAGGACGCTCACGGGGAGAGCACGCCTTTCCTCAGTATGCAGAACATGAACATGGACCCGCCTCTAAATGTCCCGGGTTTCCGTTCGTCATCCGGTGCAGACACACGGACTCACCGCGGGCTGAGTCGGCCAGGGACGCGCAGCAACGGGCAGAGCCGCGGCTCCCAGTCGCAGCGCTCCAAGGCTGACAACATGCCCCTTTAAGACTTAACCTCCCTCCGACGCCCACCATTACACCCCCGCCACCTCCCGCCCTCTCCACCTCACACACTCCCCTTCCTCATACACACAACCCGTGGACTAGAGACCTGCACCTAGGAGAAATATTTTTATTTTGTATAACAGACAGATATTCTAAACAAATGAAATATTTATTTTCATTTCAGCAAAAATTGTCTACTAGCTAACAGCAAAGACTTTTTTTATAATGGGGGGAGGGGATATTTATATGTAAAGTTTTTTGATTTACAGCATTATGAGAGATGAAAAAAATAAGAGAATTACGTGCCAATTTTTTCACAAGTTAGATAAATAGAATAATATTGTGGTGCCTTTTGCTGTATGCTGAAGTCGGAGGTCCCATTGAGTTTTTGTAGCCTTTCTTATAAAGACTCCTCGTTTTTATAGAGACCAACCCTCTTCCTTCCTTTTGCTTTGGTTTGTTTCTCTGATTTGGGATCTTCCTCTTTTTGAACTGTGATCTGATTATGTCATCATGCAATATTGATTCCTCCTGTGTAAAAGGTGTCTGTTTACATGAGTATGACCCACGCGATGCGCTCGTTTCACAGGGACATTTAGTCACTGACGCAACCAAGATGTGTAGGGTAGTTTCCTCGGATGAACACACATCGGTCATTTATGTCCTCGTTCGCTGCCTGTCAGTCATTTCTTGTTATTTCTGTAAAAGCAGGAACGTTGGGGAGTTGTCGAGGGAAAGTGACTCCAGATTCCTCGTGTAGGTATTCAGGGTGCTGCCATGACATTGGTGGTGGTTGTAGTGTGCGTGTACTGTATGTGTGTGTCTGTGCGTGCGTGCCTGTATCCATTCTGCACGCCTCATGAAGCCTCATTCGGTTGGCGCCTCTGTTCACCTTGGAGGGTGTGATCTCTGTTGTTTGACTGTCACGCTCCTCTCCACCGATCCTCACGCTGCCAGAAGCTCCATTGCACTGTAAGAACCTCCCTCCGTGAGCAGTCATTGGCCAGGGAGCTGCCGATCCAAACCGAACCTAACCAATCCAGTTGTAATCCAGCCTGACTCTGGCCTCCCGTGGACTGCCTAGCCCGCTCGTTTCCTATGCCAGCAGCTTAGAGCCGCACTGTGTCTCAGGACTTCCCCATCACATCACAGCCAAAAAGACTCAAAGCAGAGAACGCACGTCATCTCAGTCACAGTTCAGTTCGCAGGTCAGATCGACATCCCCTCACTCCTTCTTTTCGCCATCTATCAGGTTTCTCGCGCTTACTTGTGGCTAAAGGACGGTAAACAACGCGTTTGATTAAACTTTTGGAATCAGTAGGCGGATTCAGTTACTTTTTTCTTTAACTTCAAGAAGTTATGTGTGCGTTTAAGTGAGCATGTGTGTAGCCGTGTTAAAAAGATGAAGTTGTGCAGAGACGGCATCTGTTTGCGCTCTGATGCAGGGGCGTAACCTTGGAATTCTGCCCCCACCACTGAAAGGTGGATCTCCCTCTGGGTTTCCCATTTTCGCTCTTTTTCCTTTAAAAAAAAATTTGTTTGTTTTCTTTTTTAAAAAGGATATCCCACCGAAAGCTACGTGGGCGCACATTTTGCCACACTAGTGACAGTGCTGCTCCGATCGGGAAGAAGCACCACGTGCGGGTTCACATTGCTGGGAAGAGAGTTTCCGAGGCTGATTCTACCCTTTTAGTTAGCTCACACGGTTGTATATGATAATCCTGATTACTGCATCCTTGATTTGCATTCCTATACCTTTTATCAACTGAACTTTATTTGCTTGGTCACACTGACTGACTGAATGATCTGTTATGTGTGTCTCCGTCTGCCCCTTCCACCCACCACATCGCAACCTCACCGTCACGTCTTCCTCGCCCTCTTACAGAAGCAACTAGCAGACAAAGTTAAGTCCAGTGAGTAAAACCAAACAGCACACTACCAGTAGTCCGATCATGTCAGAAACTCTTCCACTGCAGATGTACATCAGGTTCTGAGACCCTTAGAGAGACCCTTTGAAGTTCACTGAGGAAAATGATACTGTGTTAGATACAATGTGTCCCGACTAGACTTCATTTCCAATATGTAGAGTTTTGTTTTCTTTCTTTTTCCCCCACACAGGCAATGCATGGATCACAGATATAGAAATTATCCCCTCAGATTTAGGGGGAATCGTATGATATGAAAATACAATTTGGGTTCACGGCCCAGTGGTCTGGCTAGTTTTGTCTTACTATCACTGTAATCAATCTGGGATTTGCAAACGATTTGAAATTACTGCAAGTGAGGATAGTGTGCTTCTAGAGCTAGTCGAATTGTTGACAACCCCACCCTCTTTCTCCTCGACCCCACCCCACCCCTCCCCCGCGCTTCCCACCCACCTTTTTTACGAACACACGTACTTCTCTCACGCACGTACATCCATATCCACAATGAAGCACACACACTGAGCACACAGACACACAAAACCGTGCATACACAGACACACTCACACAGCCCCTCTCATGTTTGTTTGTCAAGCAGTTTGTCTTTTTTACCTACCAACCTACTTTTTCCTCCTCCTACTCCTCATCTTCCTCCCCTCCTCTCAACCCCAAATCCCCTGCATGTCCTAGTGGTACTGGTAGTTGGGTGCATGGAAAAAGCAGCAAGCAAATCTTTTTTTTCCACTCGGTGAAAAAAAAAATAATAATAACAATAATAAAATGAAATAAAAAACGTGTCCTCATTTTAACATTCAGCAATAAATCCCCTTCTCTTCATGTCCATCATTCTTGGAATATGCTAGAAGATTTTTTGCAAGTTTTATCAAAAACATACTACTTGTAAAAGAAGAAAAATCCAAAACACCCCTTCATATGAAAAATAAAACTTTATTCCTACCATTTTTGAAACAGTCCTGTCATCTTTGTAACTGAAATACTGCGTGATTGCCTCTTTAACAAGCAGAAGGTTTGAGATGATCAGAAGCATATCCACTCAGGCCATCTGAAGCCTAGAGCAGGAAAGAAAATAGCTGGAAACAGGGTTTGGAGCAGTTGGACCTTTCAACTCACAGGGATTACTTACACACAAACACTGACCACATTCTTTGAAACCTTAACCACGTGCATCCACAACTGTAATAGTAAGGAAAGTTTTCATTACTACTAAAGGTTTAACTGTTCTAAAGGAGCAAGGAGCTAAATGATCACATCTTCAGTCTGTTACCAGAATATCAGATGATTATTGTGTATTTAAGCTCTCAGTTTTTAATTAATCAGGTGTGCCGACACTATTCACAGCCCACATTATGACATGAACAACTAATAATGTCCATTATTATCTAATTTACAGTTGATAGACAAGCTAGATTTCTGAAACGTTTGGAAGCCGGGAACCAAAAGTTACTTACTGGGGACCAAAGGGTCCTAACACTAACATACGGCACACATTTACAACCATTTGTACTCTTAGCTGCAGCTGAAACTGTTTGTAGGACTTTGCCTAAATACTTCAAATACTTGAGGCACAATGTGTCACAATCCTGCAGAGGTTTCTACTGGATCAGAGATAACAAGGGACGGAATAAAAAGAAAATGATGGTGATGGCACACATTTTCATACAAAGAAACAGAAAACATCCCATCATAGTAGCACATTATATGCATAATGTGCTACTATGTACATGTAGGGATGTAAGACAGAGAGGAGCCACAATTTATGCCTCCAAACTCCTACAAACACTGAGGAGGGAGCGTTTAGGTAAGATTGGTTGGTGATTGTTGTCTTAGGGTTTTCCCAAGCTGATTCACACTTGTTTTCCATGACAGCTGTTGTAACACCTTAGTGTCAGGTATGCAGACACACCACATTATTTAAATGCAACCGTTTTTAGAGTTCTTGTCTGACCTGATAGGTGTGCGGATCACAGGAATCTGCCCATGAAAACATTACCAGGTGATAGGGTAAGGCGGCACAGAAGGAAGTTCTGTTTCCAAACTGATGTCTGGTTATTCATGTGCACAAGATGAACTGAATGAACTAGTGAAGTTTCATACCCACACTGATATGTTTTACATGGTATTTTCTCTGTGATTCTGAGGTAGTGACACCAACAGCTGAGTCATTGATAAATGTTATTAGTTTTGTATTGTCTTCATTTCTTATGAAACACATTGATGTGTTTCCCATTGTTTGTGGGTGGAATTTCTCTTTGTTTCACAAGTGGGTGTATCAATGCTGCTCGGCAGAACCCGAAGGAGCCTCCTCAGCCAGAGGGCTCAAAGGAGGAGCTTCAGCTACAGAGGAAAACCTTCCTGATAGACTGACTCACTGTATTTTATCTTTAATTCTTGAGTAGAGAGTTTACTCAGACTAAATGAGACAAAACTGTGCTGGACAACGCTTCTCAACTAGATAACAACAACTAGGTGATTATTCAGTAAATAGAAAGCCTTCATTAAAAACAGGTAAGCAAAGAAAACTGCTGACATCAACAGCTTCATTAAACCTTTTAGGGTTGAAGTCATTATACATGGTAACCCTAACCCCTATATTTGGGAAGCGACCAAAACAGAGTTTTTAGAAAAACTGTGTTTTTTTTATTCTTGTTGGTTAAAATGATGATTTTCTTTCTACCCTCACTGGGAAAACAATATAATAAAAGCCAAAAATGACATATTCTTATTGGCTAGGGTCAGAATAGGAGTTAGAGTTAGAAATAGTGAAGTTTGGGCTGTCACTGATTTAGACCTAAGAAGGTAAGTTATTTAAAATGACATCATCTTTTCAGTTTCTTGTTAACACAAGGAATTTGTAGACTGTGTTTGTTTATCTGCTAATAAAAATGTGCTTAACTCTTTTTCATACCTCAAAGTATGACTAAATTTAACTCTAAATAAACATTCCTTTTGAACTTGTGATAATTATCTGCTAAAAACCACACTACTAAATTTGAATCAAAGCACATGGTTTTTGATTGGTGGAGTCAAGATTGCGCATGGCTTTGAAATGACCAGAAAAAAATTGCTTTGCATCTCAATGCTTACATGCCAAATGAGTCAATTATACTGGCTGTTAATCATCATGTGATCAAAAAGAACTCAGCTAAAATCTATTTTACGCACTCGTTTGTGAGATCACTGTTACATATGGTCTTAGTTCATCTCTCTTTTGCAAATCTTCCATTTCCTCATCATGCTTCTTCACTTCATTTCTCCGCAGAGCTTTGCCTCTCGATCCAGATACACATAAATTTGCTATTGTACATTTAATAATTGTTTTATATTTTGAAACTCAGAAATTGCCAGATGTCAGATTTCTTCAGAGTAACTTGGTGTTTGTGTATTTGCAGCTGAATGGCATGGTGTTATATTCGCTGGCGCAGGGTGTTAATCTGTGTGTGCACGCCTTGCATCTTCCTGGCCCTGCTCTTTGTCTACGTTGGTTTCACGGTGTGTATGAGCATGACAGCACCAGCGAGTGAAATCATGCCAAAGAGTTCTCATTTTGTGGCCAATGGAATTTTAAGAAATAAGACCTTCGCCTCACTCCCTAAAACTTTCTGGGAGAACCAACGTCAGAAAAAGGCTTTTTGGAACCAGCTCCAGCTGGTCGTTGACCGCCAATTTAACCCCATCCTGCACCCCCACAAAGCCAAGGGATTAATGAAGAATATCAGCTTTGATGATTTCCTGCTGAAGAAGAGTTTCTCTGCAGTTCGCACACTCAACAACATGACATATAATGTTGACGAGCTACCACAACAGGTGCAAGACTTCACCAGGAACATGCAGACAAGAGACTACCCGGTTCTCCTCCAGCCAGGTGGAGAATGTGGAGCTATGGGAAAAGACGAGCGGGAGGACCCTCTGATTCTCTTCGCCATCAAAACAACACTGGATAACTTCAACAACCGACAGGCTATTCGGCAGACCTGGGGCCAGGTGGGATGGGTGGCAGGACAGAAGATAAATGGCAGTGGCAGAGATAATGGTGGAGCCTATGTTCGCAGGGTGTTCCTGCTGGGCAAGCAAAACACCAAAGAACCGGGTGTGGATGTGTCTGAGTTACTCAAGTTGGAGAGTGAGTTCTATGGAGATATTCTACAGTGGGACTTTGAGGATACATTTTTCAATCTCACCTTGAAGGATGTGCTCTTCTGGAGCTGGTTCTCACACTCTTGCAAGCAGACCCACTTTGTCTTCAAAGGAGATGATGACATCTTTGTCAACACACCAAAACTGATAACCTACCTCCAGATCCAGATGGAGAAGCCGCATGTGAAGAAGAACATGCACAACTTCATGTTTGGGGACGTCATAGGAGCAGCTTCACCCAACCGAGTCAACATCTCAAAGTACTTTATCCCACACAGCTTCTACAAAGGGTTATACCCCGCGTATGCAGGCGGGGGAGGGTTGGTGTACTCGGGTCAGTTGACCAGACGTCTGCACTTAATTTCTAAAAGAGTTTACCTGTTCCCCATCGATGATGTGTACGTAGGGATGTGCATGGTTCGGCTCAATGCCTTTCCCACACACAACCATGCCTTCCTCATGTTTGACTTCCCCAAAAATGAAGGGAAAGACCCGTGTTCGTACCACACCATCTTAGTGATCCACAAGCGAAGCCCCAAGCAGGTGGTGAAACTTTGGGCTGACTTGAAAGAGACACAGGCACAATGTCGACATGTGCCTCTGAGAGTTGAAGAGAAGAAGAAAAACAAAATAATCCCCAGCACTTTGTAGCCACCTTGAAATGACTCTGGGCAGCTATACGGGCAGATATGTTGTTTAAGTTCAGTGGTCACTGAGACATAAAAACTGCATATAAAGAATAACAGGATTGCGGTAACGGTTAAGTGGAAAAAGTACAGGCTTGGAAATGTATGAAGGAACTCCTTTAAGGAAAATTCTAATAACCATTTTTGTAAAAAGGTATCCGAACCTTGTCCTACATTAATATAATATAAAACAATATTAGTACATGAGAAGGCAAATACTATTCCAATCTAAATTCTAATTCCCATGACAGCTTCATTCTGTTGTTTTTAAAAATAACGATTTTGTTGCCTACATTGTAGAGGGTGACTTTGCCTCCACACCTAAACAGTAAAATGGGACAGTCAGGAGTAACCGTAATTTATGTGTAGTGGCTCAGCATAAGGAAAAGAATCACAAGTCTGTAATTTCTAATGTGAGCTCCAGTAGGTTTTCTTCGTGTATAGACTGTGATCAGCTGACCTGCCACTCTTTGTGGATTTACACAACCGGATTCAACAAGATGTAAACAGTTTCACAAGCTATCTTCACTGATGTCTATCCTCTACACTAAAGTTAGAATTCGGTTAATTATTCCAAGTGTC